ATGACCCTATCGGCGGGCGGGTATGCCGAGCAGGTGCACAAGCGGGCGCGGCAGGCGGTCGAGTGCATCAAGGCACTCGACGGTGCGTGCAGCTCGCAGTCGGTACAGCGTGCCGCGGAGCGCCTTCTCGGGGTGTTCGGGAGCATGCAGACAGACGAGAAGGACGACCATGTCAAGGCGCTCCTGTTGGCCGTCGCCACCTTCCTCCGCGACACCGTGTGCAAAGCGTACGGTGCGCTGCGCGAGAAGGACCGACTTGTGCAGGAGAGCGAGCGGAAGCGCGCGCGTCTCGGGCAAGAGATCGGAACACTGAACGAGGAGGCGTCGAAGCGGGAACAGCTGCTGGAAGATGCGATCGCCACGGCCGACCGCGGCGCGAGCGAGGCCGCGCGTCTCAAGGGAGAGGTGCAGAAGCTCGAGGGCGCGAAGCAGGCAGACAAGAAGAAAATCGCCGGGCTGCAGATGGAGGCTGAACAGGCGAGAAGCACGGTACGTTTTGCCTCTGTATTTTGGGGCTCGCTGCGGTGCTCACTGCTGAGCAGGAACGCCGCCTACGAAACAAGGTCACCGACCTCGAGGCCGAGCTGCAAAAGACGACGGCGGAGCTCGAGACGCAGCGCGAGTCGGCGGAGCAGCAGCGGCAAGAGAACGAGGATCTCCGGCAGCAGAGCCAGATCGAGTACTCGTTCGACGAGCCCGGTCCGCTGGACGCCTTCGGCGAGTTTGTGCAGGGCTCGTCCCGAAGCCAGAGCTGGGAGACCTCCAGCGTCGTATACGCCGAAGACATCGACCTCGACAGCTCGCCGTCCCGACCCTCCACGCCCGCGCCCAGCGCATCGCACTCCTCGCGTGCACCATCTGTTGCTTCGTCCCGTGTGTCCTCGAAAACATTCCGGCTGCGGTCGACGTTCAGCTCACAGGCACGGATGGCGTCTGGCAGCGGCGCAGTGCCGCAGCGCCCCAAGTTTGTCTCAGACTGGTCGCTGGACCCCCCAGCAAGCAAGCGCAAGCGTGTCGCGGCTGACGAGAGTAGCAAAAAGTTTCCGATAAAGGTGGACGCGAATGGACGACCTATTGGGCAGCTGCAAATCGGGCCGCGAGCGAGACTAAACAAGTATAACTGAGAAAGAGTAGCAGCTGCGTGGGGATGTGCGCAAAGGAGAAACATGAGACCTGCATTTCATTTTTTGGATACCGTACACATCTTGCATCACGACACCACCATAAACATTGTCTGTGCCAAAGCTTACACTACTTGGCGTGTGGGTCGGCTCTTGTTTTTCGCTGGTCGTCGAGCATTGTTTGGCAGATACTAAACCTTCGGGCACCGGCATGACAATATATCTCTAGGTTGAACTGGATGGCTCCTTTGACACCCCATAGTGGTCAGATCCTACGTCATATTCTCCATGACACAAGTTATTACTACCAGCCTCTACCAGATGGTTCCTGCGACTGCGGCGTCCACAAATACCTTGCGCTAGCAGATTGTGCCGCATTGGTCTCCTTGGGCAGACCTTATCTAACCAGTGGTTGATCGTCTTTGGTGCCGAGACATGTCTATGGGGCCGCTTCGAACGTGGGCGAGACTCCTAAGCAAGCCGGTTGACAATGCACCTATCTCCGTGGAACCTAGCCCGGCGCAAAAGAATACCAGAGCTGCATGACGCGTCTCAAACGTGTCGTGCTACACCCAATTGGCCTGCAGTTGGCTCCTATCTAACCTAAACTGATCACTGACAGGACCCATGACAATTGGTGGGAAGGCCTGAGGACAGATTTTGCCGGTTTTGGCCTTTAGGTACGGACAAAATTTGCACAACGAGCCCAAAATAGTACGGATTTTCCTCCCGGTCCGGCCTGACGGCCGGACTTTGGTACGGACTCTAGCTCAGGCCTATCACATCGGCAAAAAGGGACGGAGATTATATTGCATTAAAATGCAATACAATGCGATCTAGTCCGTTATCTTGCATTATAAACTCAAAAATCACTAAAAATCGCATTATATTTGACCGCCCAATGTGCCGATGCAGTTTCCTCACCCATACTATGCCCGTTATTCCTTCGTGCATAGTATACTCATGTGTAATACACAAATATATATTACAGGAGTACCATTGTCCTCGGCCTCTTCTGTCGTCATTGCAGCTGCCGCCGCCCCGCCGCTTCTCTCCATGCTTCGCGCAACATCAGCAAAAAAATAGGTTGTAGGCCAACGATGGGTTGTTATGCAAGCGTCTAGCAGCC